ATGTTATAAGTCATATTATGATGAATATTAGGTAAATGTAAAACTGTATAGTGTAGAATGTTGTATGATTGACCAGGGCCCTGGGTAAAAGTATTGAGTGTATGATCATACATATGTCTTTGTATTGTTTTGTAACATGTTGGACTTTCTTGTTATGGTAAAATTTTGAATAATGGGATAAGATGTTCCCAAAGGAAAATTTTCTTAAAAATTTCTGAATTGAATGAAATTGTGATATTTATTTATTCTTGTTTTGAATTTTGTAAAGATACTGGCGTTCAGTTTTATTTCAGGTCGGAGATGATGATGTGGGGGGCATTTGTTGGAAAATATGACTTATTGTAAACCCTTTTACTGCATCATCTCTCCTCCTTGAAATGTTTATTAGGTTTAGTTCTTATTTTAATGTAATATAGTAGTTACTTCTACTTCTTTTTTTCACTGCCACTGTTTGCATTGAGAACGGACTGTTTCAACCTAATTAAGATGCAAAAACGAAACGTGATGTTACGTCATCTGGAAAGCCGATTCGTGCCGATAGCTGATTGGTTGCCGTGAGATGACGTCATGCCTACTTCTGGTATAAGTATCTCGCGTCGCTCTGGCTCAGCCCTTCTAGTTCCTGCTTTCCTGGCTCTTGGGTGTGCGGTTTCCAGCCCTTTTTGAAGGATGCGTGCAGTCCGGTGAATAAGTTCCTTGGTTCCGTCCACAAGATGGTTCTTGGTTCCTGTCCACAAGATGACTATTCCTGAATAAGTTCCTTGGTTCCTGTATACAAGATGACCTTTCCAGAATAAGTTCCTTGGTTCCAGAGGCTACAATGTGAGTGACTGCCGTGGGCGGCATCCATGTTCTTCATGAAGGCGGCATTTAAAATAAGTTAGCGGCGATTCCTCGTGTTCAACTATGTAAGCGGAGTTAGGCCGGATTTAAGTGCTTTCAAGGACTTAATTTAAATTTCAGGTGCTTTCTTGACCATTGATCATGGACTTATTGAATGTGTAGCCAATTTCATTTGAGACCGCATAATTTCTGTTTAGGACATTTTGTTTGTATTGAATGCCAGTATTTTTGGAGACCAGGTAAAATATTATTTGATGAATGAAAGTTTGAAAATGATGGTTATATTATATTTTTTTCTAAGACTCTGATATTGTTTAAATTTATTCTTCGTGTTTTTATTTTTTTATATATTGTTAATAAATTGGTTAAGTTTGAAACATCTTTATTGTCTTCCATGTCTGCACAACATATAACCTCAGGGAGCTTTTATTGCTACTACTGCTAAATGTTTAATTTTATAAACTTTAAACTTTGCTTTAGCATCAAAGTCCTATAATTGCTGTGTCGAGAATACAGACTAATTTGACAATCAAAATTTTTTCGTTTTCAATAACCTCTGTGTCACTTTCTTCACTATCGGAAGCGAATTATAATGACGAGGAATTTGATTTAAATCATATCAAAGATGGAGTACATCGAGATGAAATTCTACATTTAATAAGGATTTATAAGCCAAATAATATAAAAACATCTGCCCTGAAGATAAGGATAGTGCTGACAGATCAACTTCCAATTCATTGCGCGCCGCGGCATCCCCCGCAGAGCAGTGTGAAATTGATAAAACAGATTTCGGAATGGTTAGAGAAACAAAGGATATGCCTTTATCCATTTTTTGCAGCAATTCCACTTTTTGTTTGATGGACATCAAAATATACTTTCGCTTTGTAGATAGATCCTTTGGGATCTCCAGCATCGGAAATTCTATTTGACATAATCGAAAGTTCAAGCTTATTTTTATAAAATTGCGCTAACAGTCTGCAAAAATAATAAGCCAGATCCAATTCGAAGATTAAGGAACAACGCAATCTGCAACATTAACTGAAATAGATAATTAGATAATTTTAGCTTATACCGTCTGTTATACATTAAACGCGCAGGCGTAAATATATTATGCGCATGCGCACACACATATGCGCAGCCGTAAAGGTCAACGCAACGCATGCGCAGAAAGTTTGTAGCTTTGAGGTCCGGATTATAGATCATTCCGGATTATGGGTGTCCGAATTAACGACTTTTGATTGTATTGCAAACCAAAGGTGAAATTTCAAAATTAATGAATTTTGCAATGAAATCTAGAGAAGTGATAATAAATGAAGATGATATAACAGAAGTTTTTCATTGCGATGACAATGACCCAATCATCAATTAACGGATTTTGAAATCTGTAGTATGGTTCTAGATCCAGAAAATATCACTACTTATAGTGAAGAATTGACACTATAAGTAGATAGTGTCACTTATAGTGAACTTATAGTGAATATAGTCACTTATAGTGAAGAATTGGTTATTCAAGATGAAAAAATTTCGACTGTCACGTTAGAAGTCTTGACACAGGAATTACAGGACTTGAACAAAGAGAACTTTATGACAAACAATAAATTACATCTGTCTACAGAATTGAACAGAAAGTATTAGTATAAAAAACAAAGTAACTGAAACAACTTACATTGAATAAAAAGTTTAATAAAGTAAAGAAATAAATATTAAGTTTTTTTTTTTTTTTTTTTTGTTTTTTTGTAAATTTTGATACCTGTTAGATCATAAATTCTTCATTATTTCATAAATCACAATTTCATATTTTTAATTTTATAATTTCTACATGCTTGCTTACTTGATTTAAACTGATGATTTAATATTCTGAAAAATCGCAAATCTGGAATTGGCAATATCCCAACGAGTCCAGATCTTGGACTTTGTAATGTATCAATTTTTCTTAACTAGAAATTCTGGATTATGATAGGTTGGACTGGCATTTGATCCTTATCAAAGAGATAAGGATCAAATGCCAATCAAACCCTAAGGAAGTAATGAATTACAGATCTGAAACAAATACATGCTGACAATATTTTATTAATAAACTTCCCGAGTTCTTAGAGACTCATAGGCCATTTGTTTCTCTTGCTGCTTACTACCTAAATTAACAAGTAAAGTCTGAAACTCTTATACTGTAACATTTAAAGCAGCACTAGCTAGATGACAAAACAGGTTTTTGAGTTTGAAATTTAGATGGTAATCATTTGCTCTAATCTTAAACACAATCGCAAAGTTCAGACATAATTTTCAACACATGCTTACTCCCCGAATAAAGTTAGAAAAGAGAACAATTTTATACTTAAAGGATTCTGGTTCCCAACCTGAGCTATTAAACAACTGCATATGCAGACAGTGAGAAGAATTCTCAGTTGAAAGATTATGTTCAACAAGTTAGCCAGATGATATCAAAGCAGTACATAAACAAAGCAGTATATATACATTTTACAAATGTTAAGCAACTAGAGGACCAGAAGTGCAAAATCAATAAAGATTCAAGAAACTTGAAGTATCTGTCTGAGCGACACACAATATTTCTCTGGTAAAGAAATATATAGTGTGGAGTAGAAATATATTTATTTAGAATATCATAAATATTTTAATGCTTAACCCACAGAAAGTATGTAAAGGAAGAAAAGCAAATGTACAATTTCACATAAACCAGTATACAGCCATGTAAGCCCACACATAAAGAGGAGTAGTATTTATAACCAAAGAATACATGCAGTAAATTTTGTTACAATTAACAGTGATGGTTATTTTAGTCTTTGAACAGATATTTGATATCTGAACACTTAAATTATTAACAATATAATTTAAATACAGATATGGAGACTGGCTGTTGTGAAAAAGATTTGAAATCAAAAACAAAAGAAGAGCCAGGAATAATTCAGTTTAGGATATAGCTCTAGAGGTGGATAAAGCCTATCTTAATGCATCATTTAAAGAAAAATTTAATTCAAATTAGATAATCAAGCAGCAAAAGTGAAAAATGCTTTTCAAGATTTGATGGGTAAAGAGAAATGTCCTACACAATTTTAAATAAAATTTATCCAAATTATATAAAATTCTGCTTGTTTGTATTTTTACACCTTTCTTGATCACTAATGTCCACTTAATAGAATTATAAATATGTCAATTTTATTATGTAATTTATGATTTAATTATGTCATTATTTAAATGTAATACATTTCATGTGCTTAACAGTCAAATATAAAGCATATTTAATCAAATCAGTATCAATTTTGATCTCATTAACAAAATATTAAATTTCACATTTCTTCATTCTCATTAACACTGTAACAGTTTTATTCTCAGATTTTTGAGAATATGCTTTTAATTTCTTTAAAAAATAAAAAAATTGTTTAGCATAAATATTAATTTTATATGCAGTCTTCTACATTTATGATTAAACTAATCAAAGATTTATGAATTGTTGGTAGATATGTATTATCCTGTCAACCATTAAAATTGGCTACCACCAAACCTTGAAAACTGGCGAGATCGTGCCAAAGCTGCGGCAATCATTCCTGTGGAATTCTGAAGGAACTGACACATTTTTATTTAATAAACAATCAGTATTTGACCCGTTTCATTTTTGCACTATGAAAAAAGGCCTTTGTTGATTTCTGCTATTTTGTTATGTCTTCCGATTTTAACAGATGCTCTGTTTAAAAATGCTATGCCTACAAACTACCACAAGTTATTGTCTTGACCTATTACTCTTTTGTTGCCATATTCAGCTGACCACTGTGGCCATTAATAAATACACACTTTTTTTAAATGTTAGAATCCTGTAATTATGAAAATAATCTACTTCTTGCATGTTGTACAAGCCAGGTCCCAAATTTTAATCACTTTTCCCCAAAAAATGCAAGACAAATATGCAGCAATAACAGTTAATTTATATCCTTGTTTATAAAAACAAAACATGGCTTATTGAGAATCAGTTGGGGATATGAAAATGTAGATGCTATGAATGTGTTGTTAAATCACGTTTATTCATAAATGGCACTAAGTTGTGCTGTTTGACCACAGTTCATGATCAATGGGATACGTTAAATATGATATTGCTCGATTAATTTAAAATCCGATTCAATTCCATTCAATTAATTTAAAAGTTATACCTTTGTTTTAATTGCTCTGGAGATCCTTTATCTGGAAATACTGCTGAAATGGCAGCAAAAATAATGTCATGCTGTTCTGGAGCTGAGGATTTCTCTGAAACAAAGCACACATGTATTTATAAAAATAAGTTAAATTATTCTAAAACTATTTACTACATTTTCAGTACCTATTGTAAAATGTAACAAAATCTGAAACATACAAAAGCAGTATTGTAAATTTAGTGGTGATGACATTTTTGGAAGCAAGCAAATTACATACATACTGCAATTAGAACTAACCAAAACTAAAATAATATAATTCAATTTTATTTTTCTTCCTTTTTTTAGAGGGGATACAGAGTGCATAAAAAAGAAAAAAAATTATTCTAAAATATGCAAGTTATGCTTTCTTTAATAAAAAAAAATCTGATGTGTACACAACATGACTTCCTTACACGATATATTAAATTATACGCATATTTTTCCTGCATTTCATTTAAACGTATTGGAATGAATTAAATCTACTTTGTTGATAGCGCATAAACCACAATAGAATAAATGCATTCTTTACAATTCACTACATTTGTTTACCACAGCGATACTCTGGCGCTAGCTTCACTTAATAGAAACTTAACGAAATTTACAATTACATTTCGTTCATACTATAAATCAGAATGCATATAAATGTATAGCATTTGAAGAATTATTTAATCGTTGCCACACGTTCTATTCAAATACTATAATAAATTTAAAACAATGTATAAAAGAAATTAAGCAAACAAAATAAAAAAGAAACAGTTTTTTACAGACGATTCAGCATTTCTCATTCAATTAATTCAGTTCTCCCATCCCGACAAGGCAAAAATACATAAAAACTCAAAATATCTATGTTAAAAATTACAAAGTAAATTTTAAACACTTACTTCCTTGAATAAATTTCCGAATGGATCAAACATGATTTAATTCGCAGTAATAAAAAAAAGGCATTATGTTTGTTGTTGCAAAGCTTGGTTTCTCTAGATTGGCAACAAATCTGCTATTTTGCAAAGTTTGAAATGTAAACAAACATGCCCGCCATCGCAAAATTCATTAGACTTAGCTGCACTTAAACAACTTTTAAATTGTTGATAACTCCACCAATATTGCGTGCAGATTTACTAAAGGCATAAAAACCTTAACCGGAAGATAAGAACAACATAATTAAATCATTTTTAAAGAAAAAAATGCACAACTTACAAACACATAACAGTAAAGAAACTGAGATCATCGAGCCAGTTAACAGAGGGGTTATATATATACATATATTTATATACGTTTGGTGCGGCCGATTGTAACCAAAATATGAGGTGCACATATAAATGTTATAGCAGTTCTATATACAAAATTTCAACATTCTGAGGCTACTCATTTTGAGTTATGCAAGATACATACAGACGCCACGAAAAATTCTCTTTAGAATTCATTTAAAATTAGTTTTATAATTTTTTGGGGGAAAGGAGTCTTTTATTCTGTCCTTGCGTATGGATGTCATGCAAAAACATCGTTAAATTGCATTTAATAGCAGTTAAAATGGATATTTTCATTGAAATATGATGCCTGAAAATTTTCGCAATTACAATACTTCCTTTTTACTTCGTACAAGGAAATAAAAAGGCATGAAAAATTAGAATTTCAAAAGACAGATTAATTATATTGTCATATTCTCAGTGATATTAATTCTTCCCAACCTAGCTGGTGCTAGTCAAAATCAAGAAATATATTTATCTTTAATGCATCCAATACTCCAAAAAGATTAAGCAGTAGATGATGAAGATCTAGATTAGTGCATAAAAGCAAGTGATTAAAAAAAACCTGTACATTTAATAGACTTAGGAAAATGTGAGAAAAATTTAATATCTGCTAACAGGTTTAAGAGTCTCAGCGTGACCAGTGCATAGACTTGCAAGAGCACTATGCCTTTTTAGCACCTACGAAATGCAAGGCAAAATTTTGGAACTGCTCCTAGGTACTAAGCCTGACTGCTGGGTAGGGGATTTTCCTTGCTGAACTTTTATGTATTTCAGCCACTGCAAAAAATGTTCTGGGAAATTAATTGATCAGACTATAAAGATCTCCATTATTCCATGTGTGCTTTTGTGATGTAAGTAATTTCAGCTAGTAATTGGAATATCTGAGGTTCAAAACACTGTGAGAGCACAACTGATTTTTGACATTTCCTGGCTGGGGGGAGGCTATTGATCACTAGAATGGCATCTGAACTAAATTTAGTTGATGAAAATTTGTTTCTATCTTACAGTAGTGGGTATCACTCCTTTTCTCAAGCTTTAATTAAACAGGAAAGACATAAAGAATTATTCTGCTTCCATGCATTTTCTTGTGGTATATGTGATTAGTATGCCCAGTTAGCAAATGAACAATACAATCTGAATTTCAGGATAGTGAAAGAAGAAATACTATCTATAAGGATATCAAATGGTTTTTAATGATAATTTTATTGAGATGGTGAATGAAATTAAATATTGTTTATTATAATACAATAATATGCTATTAATATTATCCTGTTTTGCTCGATAGCAAATTTAACTTGTAACTTGTAATTAAAAAGTATATTTCTAATAAATGTGAGAGACTTCAGTGCAGACTGAATTTAAACCCTAATTTTGGTGTTAAATCGAATGTTGGTGCAATTATTTATTAATAAGGTACTTTTCCCTGCATTTCATATGGGTATAGAAACTGAGGATTGTCCCTAAAAAAAAAAAAAAAAGATTAACTCTTATAATCTGTTTCAAATTCAGAGGCAAATTTTCCAGCGAGTTATCAGTGGTTACTGAATAATTAGTTATAATGTTGTTTTTAAACCTGCTGGATTTCTACCACCAGATATAATTATTCTGCAATGCATAGGTTAAAAGGACAGCCTAACTAATTGCTGCAGTTCTCATTTTGATCATTAACTGCCTTTGTCTGCACTTTTTCATATTACTGCAAGACAACCAGTACAAATTTTTGGATACAATGGATATTAATGAAAATTCATTTTCAGCAGCGTGCTTATGCGAATGATAGTAAAACTGATGACAGAGTAGGTTTTGTTTATGTCATCTAAGAGGATGAAACTGAGCAGCACCAGTTTTGTATTAGAAATCAATGCACTGCTTATATTTTTGAATTTCTATGTATTAGTTTTACAATTAAATGGATACTAGCTAGGATAGACATATTTCCAATTACTTAATTTCCACTGCTGCTTTCTCTTCCGTGGAGTCCCTAAAAATATTTCATCATATAATGATATTGTTAATATACAGCAGTCTCTTGGGGATCTATTACAGAAGGATATTTCAGTGCTTTTTACATTTGTTCATGGGTACGTGGGGATATATAGAAAAGAAAGAGCTGATTGGCTTGAAAAGAATGCAACTAAAAAAACATTAATATTGATGTAAATATTCCAAAATCGTACTTTAAAAAAATATTCAAACCTAAAACGATTAAACAATGGAATAATGATGATATCACTTCTGATAAGGGAGACATTACAAAAAAGGTCTTTCCAACTATCTTCGAAAGACTGAGAAATAAGGACTTATTATTCTATTTTAATGTTAGATAACTTTTGTCTGGGCATGGAAAGTATAATGTTTATCTTAAACGCATTAAGCTGATGTCTTCCAATTTGTTATTGTGGTCTCGGCATTCAGCAAAGTGTCTTCCATTTACTTTTTGATTGCCCCTTCCTCTATCTTGCAAGGAATTCATTAAAATGTAGATTGAAATAAACTGGCTACCAAAATTTCATGAATTTGTTTCTCAGTCTTTGGTCTACCTTGCTTTTAATGACTTTGTTGACTCTTATTTTAAATATTATAAATAATTAAAAAAAAAAAAAAAACTAGCAAATGAAATACTTGTGGCTTGAATCCCAGTGACACCACAACTCCTGGCTTTAAAAAAAAAAAAAAAAAAAAAAAAAAAAAAAAAAAAAAAAAAACAAAACACTTAATAGTCTCTACAAAGTAAGCCAAAACATTCATGGTAAAGGCTAACTGTCTGAAGGAGAAATAAATTCCACAAAATTTTCTAAAGGAAAAAGGCTTATATTTGCTAAGCACAGGGAAATTTATCAAAAATCAGCATTTCAACTGGTATATCAACAATATAATATGAACAATTAATATTTAGCAGTTTTAGGCATTTAGCTCCTTGTCCACTGTATCTCTGACAAGGATAAGTATATTGTAACCAAACTATTTTCCTTAGATGAATACTAACAGATTGAAAATTTTGTCCTTCCCCCCAAAAAAAGCATAAAATTTGACAGCATGCTGACAGATTATCAAAAAACTTACCATGATGAGTGGTAGTTGGAACATTCCATGGTGGTGATCGACCACATTTCTTGTTACGACCTGGAGAAGATTTTTCATAACCTTCATCTGAGTCGAATTTTATTCCTTTAGGATCTAACTGGTTGGCTAACGTCTGCACTAAATCTACAAATATATCGTCATTTATAAAACCACACTCTCTGTCACCATGAACTTTCCCATCATAATTTTTCAGAAGTTCTTCAATAAAGGAACCATCTTGATCAAGAACTTCATCTCCCATATAAGGAATATTGTGCAAAACAGTTTCATCTTCAACCTAAGCAAAATGTTTAAAAATATATAAGACTCATCTCATTGTGCACACATTAAACAATTTTGTACTTCTTTGTTAAAGCGGCAAACTATGTAAACCTTTTGTAATATTTGAAATTTGCATATTACAAACTGAGCAACTAAGATGGTCAATTTTAGCAACTGAGTACAATGGTAGTTTCAAGAACAAATCAGTACAATTCATAACAACAGATTATGTCAGAAAAATACACAATATGACCATATTTGACAGACATGGCCAAAACCTGCATGATCATTTGTATATGAATGCATAGGAAACTTACACTGTAAGGTGTGTTACACATGTATTTGTTGCTCAATAAATATTGAAAAAGTAATAAAAGTACTTTTTATAAGCACAGTAAATTTAGTGGTTGCACCATTTCTTGAAATAAAGAAGTCACATATAAGGTGCTTCACACGGTATAGCAAAACTTTAAGTTGAATAACTCTTCAACAGGTGGAACTAGAGATGTGAAACTATGCAAGCATGCACAGGCACCTAAAGGAAACTTATTTAGACTCTGGTTAGTTTCAAAGAATATTTTATTTTCACCACAATGTATCAATATTCAATCGAAGAGCGTATTTAGTCAAAACATTTCATCTTTGTGAACACAGACCTGCTGAAACACTCAGGAAGTGATGTAGTTCCTCTAAAATAGACCAAAGCCATTTTCATGTATGTTAAGAGCATTAATTGCCAAATTGGAACGAACAGATGACAAAGTAGGCATGAAAACCACAAAAAAAAAAAAAAAAAAAAAAAAAAAAAAAAAAAAAAGACAGCAAGGATATCCAAAACATGACCGCTGTCAAAACAATAATGTGAAAAAGCCATCTATATCAACTTGACACTTGGCTCAACAACTTAACATCAGTGCAGCTAAAGCATGGAGAATAGCCCTCAAAGATCTTTACATTTTCTCTCACAAAATTCAGAAAAACCGCTCATCCCAGATGCTATTGAAAAAGACTGAAGTTTACCAACAGCATGCAAAAAATGATAGATATGGTTTTTCCAAATGTGCCGATATAATTTTTTCCTGATGAGGCAAACTTCTGGTTGGATGGCTATGTCAATAGCCAGAATTAACAGATTTGGGACAGTGATAAGCTAGAATTTATTGTTGTCAAGTGCTTTCATCCACAAAAGGTCACTATCTGGTGTTGTTTGTGTGCTGATGGCATTTTGGGTTTGTATTTTTTTTATTCAGGCAAGTCGAGATAGTGCTATCTCAACTTCTTGAGAACAAGGCTCATTCCTGAACCAGAACAATGGATTCCAGATGCACAGTTTCAGCAGGATGAAGCTCCTCCACATTTAACAGGAGGCAGCTTGGACTTGCTCTGGTGTCACTATAATAATCGTGCCATCACAAAGCCTTTCCCAAATCACTTTTTTAAATCCATTACGCAAATGGACAATTACTTAAATGGACTTTCTAAAATTCACTATAGCCCTTACCTATTACAACTACACTTCTTTTCACAGAGCTATAATAAAGATCAAGTCTAGAGGGATCAACCAAAAAATCACAGAGGAGATGAAACAGTGATAAGGTCAATTCCAATAGACCAACTCAAGCAGATTACTGTGAATTTCAAGTAGAGATTTTGATTAATTTGAGATTTTGTCTTCTCACATAGCAAAACATTTTGAGAAACTCATCTTTTAATTTTTTTTATTCACATGCACAAATCCTGAAAATATGAAATAAAAATACTTTTCAGTTCAGTTATTTAATACTTTCTTTTTCTATATCCTGTGAAGTACCCTGTACATTACAGCAAGCATTTAATTAACCTATGGGACTAAAAAACTAATATTTTGGCTACTTAATTACCTAATGTGGCTAAACTAATGCTGAATGTAACCAACAAACTAACAGTATTAGTGACATTCAGGCAGTCATTAAGTATAAGAAGTATTCTCTAGCTTTTGTAAATTTAAACAATTTAAATATTTTAAGCCTGATAATTTCTGAATTTGAGTTCATCTGTCACTTTAACGTATTTATATACATAATGATGCACATACAAGTAAATGAAAGAATGAGAAACATTTGGCAAATATAACACAATATCAGGCTAGCAAATACATTTCTGGCTAGGAAATCTGAATGATTTAAAATTTTATCAACAGCAGCACATTATGAAATTAAAACTTTCAAAAGGATTGGTGGACTGATTTCAAACATGAGAATTACAGCGCATAAGAGAGATATATCAGAATTTACAAAAAGAAAAATTCTTGGTGCTTGTCTGGCAGTCATTTCTTACCAAAACAAGAGCTCTGGAAGTATTATGACAGCCTGTATTAATCAGATTTATGGCCATATGCCTTGAAATGAGAACTTCCTCTAGTCAGAGTAAATGCTGAGGATAAGATAAAACTATTGAAATAGAATTGTAGTCAATAAATACTACAAAAACAACTATTCAAATTTATGTACAAAATTAATATCCTCTTGAATTAAGATGTTAATATTCATAGTCGGATAGCTACTGTAAAACCAATGATAATTACACCCATGCTTAAGTGTAAAGATCAAAACTTAGAAGAATAAAAAATGCCAATGTGCATTTTTCAATGATAAGTTCACATTCACCAGCTTTCAAAGTTTTATAGGAGGTTCTCATTATAGGAAATTTTATATGCAGAAATCTCTTTCAAAGGGCATGATCTGGACTGCTTTATGACCACAGTAATGCATATAAGTGGATAACAATTTTATGCCGTTTGAAGTCTGAAACATTGACTGTACTTGAAAATTACATTATTGTCGAGGAACAGATTAAATACCCCCCCCCCCATAGTTCAAATTTTGAACCCAAGGAACATGTTATGAATCAAGATGACAATGCATTCTTTTACACCATAAAACTGGTAATTCAGTGTTCTGAAGAACATGACCATGAGCTTGATCATTTTTCACATTCTGCATAATTTCCTGGATGTCAGAAAAAAAATGAGCCTGTATTGTACTTGGAAAAGGTTTTCCCTATCCGCCATCATAAAATGAAGCATTCATTGTCTTGCCACAGGAACATTAAAAAAGTACATTTAAGGATTTGACAAGAGACTTGTATTAATCATTTCTGTAGAAAAACTGAAGAACTGCTTCTGAGGTATGGAATCATTGGGACTTCAGGTGATTTAAGATTTTAGATTCTTATTTTAAACCTAGTAAGATAACAGAAATTATAAAATTCAAAATATGAGATGCTTAAGAAATAAAGATGTATTTATACCCTTACCAGAATCAAAATTTACCAAAAAAGCTCACCATTTACTTGTTTTTTGTGTTAATACTTTTCTTTCATTTTATAAACAGACATTTCTGGCTCAGTTACAAAGTTGCCATGTCAAAAATTCCCACTAAACTGTAAATCGCAATCTTTCCATTAAAAACCTCTTTATCACTTTCTTCACTATTAGTAGTGATATTTTCTGGATTTAAAACCATATGACAGATTTTGCCATCCATTAGTTGAATGCTGACTGGGGCACAGTCATAGCAATGGAAATCTTCTGTTATATCATCTTTATTTATTATTCTTTCTCCAAATTTCTTCACAAAGTCCATTAACTGCAAAAATTTTGCTTCTACAGCATTAAAAATCTATCAAAATAACTTTGACAGTTTTGCCTAATTTTGAAATTGTACTTTCTTAAGTTTGAATTGTGCTAAGATTGTCACAGAAGCCAAGTATTAAATACCCTTCTGCTTTGCAGATTAGAGAATTAGAAACTCTTTTTGACATAAACGAAAATTCATACTTTAATTTTGAGAAAACAGCAGAGATAAGAATAGCATACGAGCACAATTTGCCATGTTAATTTAGCTTATATTCTTAAGAATGTAATTCTTTCCTTTTCATTGGTATTATTCCAACGAAAAGGTGTATGAGAAACACCCCACTAAGCAAAAGCGAAATACAGTTACTAAACAAGCGGCACCATGTGATGACCTTCCATGTGTTAAATTTAAATGAGTAAGTATTTTCATACTTACCACAGTAATGCATATAAGTGGATAACAATTTTATGACGTTTGAAGTCTGAAACATTGACTGTACTTGAAAATTACATTATTGTCGAGGAACAGATTAAATACCCCCCCCCATAGTTCAAATTTTGAACCCAAGGAACATGTTATGAATCAAGATGACAATGCATTCTTTTACACCATAAAACTGGTAATTCAGTGTTCTGAAGAACATGACCATGAGCTTGATCATTTTTCACATTCTGCATAATTTCCTGGATGTCAAAAAAAATGAGCCTGTATTATACTTGGAAAAGGTTTTCCCTATCCGCCATCATAAAATGAAGCATTCATTGTCTTGCCACAGGAACATTAAAAAGTACATTTAAGGATTTGACAAGAGACTTGTATTAATCATTTCTGTAGAATAACTCAAGAACTGTATAAAGTTTGATTCACCACCTTATTGCTTTACATACTTTTCTTATTTTTGTACTTCTGCTTACTAAACATTAATCCAAGGCTCCTGGCTACTTCTCGAGGTCATGTGCCTAGTGCTCTCTCTGGATGCCATGCTCAACAAACCCAGATGCAAACCTCCCTTCTCCAGCCAAACTTATGCTTGTACTGATCAGACCACATTTTCACAATTCAGTCACTCTTTCAGAGACAAAAGTACCTGAGCTTTTTTTATTTTAAATTCTCTTAGACAACTGAGGAAACTTTATCCTGTCAGGCTTTTCATAGGATCAACTGAGAGAAACGGAAACAGCTTCAAGAATCCATATATCTGGCAATCAATGTATTTTCAATAAAGTGACACACAATCTCAATTAATAGGGAGAAAAATCACTTTTATGGCACACTGCCTCCTTTATATTTAACTATTATATTCTCATTTTCTGATCTTGGTTTAAAAAAAAAAATGCTTGTGATCTGGATATTAGATAATTATGGATACAGGATTTCCGGATTTTGGACTTTGTACTGTATTTTGTTATCAAATCTGCTTCAAAACAGTAGATTGTTTGCTGGGAGGAGAACTGATATAAAATTTTTAAAGTGATTCGAATGGTTTAAATAATGTTTGTTGCATAAATTTTGCCTATACCAAAAATTTAATTTTACAATTACTGCATTTGAAACTGATGTTAAATAAAATAATTAAATACCTTGTTCTAGTATCCAATATATTTGAGAAAATTTAAATATCTTCCTTTAAGTATGAGATATATCTTTTAATCCAATCAAAGAATAAATATTAAAGTTCATAAAACTATCCAAGATATATAACTAATTGATAAAGCTGAATTTTCTACTCATTTCTCAACAAGCAAGAACAAATTAACTTTTCAGGTTATATGATTATTCACATAGAGTATTTTAAGCATTCTTCAAAATTCCAAATAGTTGACTAAAACAAATCTAAGAATCAAGCTGCTCATACAATTAGATTTAGCAGCTTAAACTTACTGATGTTATACTATACTCACATACCTCCTCCAGTTTTATTAATTTTACATGCTTGAAAAATTTAAAAAGAGAGAGTTAAATTACACGTGGCATTTCTGAATAGAAGAATTAAAAGAAAAATGTGACAGTTTGAAAAATGGCATATGAATAAACGCAGTACTATTACAGTATTAAATATTAAAAACTTACTGTTCTAAGTATTATTATTATTATTTTACTTAAATTTATAGTTTTCTAGCCATCCATGATGCTTCATAACTCATAAGTTATAAAAAGGCTAGTAGGGATATGCAAAGGTGAGAAATGTACAAGATCATGTGATAATTACATTTTAGTGCAAAAGTATTGCATTTTCATGTAAATGTGTATTTTGAACAAATGAAATCCAATTTAATAAATATAATGGCTTTTAAACCTAATAAATTCTGAAGGCACTTTCAAGAAGAAGTTCTATAGCTAAATTTAAAACTGAAAGTCTTCTTAAAACTAAATAACTCTGATATTAAGGTGACAAAATGAATATGCCAAAAAAACTAAATATTAAAACAATTAATAATTAACATCAAAAACTGAGATAATGTGAGTAAATTTACTTTAGAAAGTTCAACTTTTCAACTATTTTAAAAACTGCAGTACTGCAATCATATTAATAATACTTTCCTCTGCTTCTTATTATAAGTTGCTTCAATTCATGGTGCACTTAAATAATTAAAAAAATTCACTGAAAATGGTAGACTATAATCATAATAAAATCAAAATAATGAAAAATCAAATTTATTCACCATGAAATTTTGCTGAATTGGAGCCCAGGTATACATGGTAGGGATTGGAGTCACTGCATACATAATACGGAGAGGTGTGGACTGGACAACACCATCCTGTTGCCTAACTTCACACTACAAGAAAGGAATTAACATAAGTAAGTGATGAATAAAATTACAAATTCTTTATTATTATAAACTTTTCCTAATGCATTACGAAAATTACAATTAACATTCATTTCAAATGGAAATAATTTTTAATAATTCCTAAAAAAAATTAATAAATATACTTTATATGTATAAAGTAACATAAATAATATGCTTAAAATTCATTCCAAGTTCAATATAAACATATGCAAAAACCAAACACCAGAAGTACAATGCAAACTGCAAGGAAAGGGAGGCAAAACATGCCAATATCAAAAATGAAATGAGAAATCTGCATCTTCCATTGAATTGCCATTAGAGAGTTGGTGCAACGATAGAAGTAAACAAATCAGTCTGTTTCCAAACCAATAAAGATAAAAATTAACGTTTAAAACTTAAAAGAATCTCAGAAATACAGTCACAGTAATCTGCCTCTTTATCAGCATAACCCCTACTAAACTGAAGTAAGCAGTGTAAAAATTGCAAAATTATAGGATCAAAAACATATTTTTTTTTTTAAATATTATTTTGAGCAGACCAATCCAAAAAACAAAACATGCGAATATAAGCAATTCAATATGTGGAAAAATAAAGACATACATAAATTTTGAAACCATACGGGTCTGGCTACAGAATTTTTAAAAAAAGCGTCAAATACTTAACTAAAGGGGAGGGACTTTAAAAATCTAATTAGTTTCAGTTTAAGTGGGCCTGAGTCCAAAGAATATGTAAAACAAAAACAATCTAACATATGAAAAAAAAAATCAATCAAACTTTGTTCTCATCTGTTTAGTAGGAAAATATTGTTGTTAAGCCTAAACTGTGCTAAGTAAAGAATTTAGATAAATTATGAATTTTAAACTGATAAAAATTAATAAAAATAATTAGAGAAAACTTCTGTTGTAACATTAAAGATGGGGTAGTAAAAATAAATACACTGCTGGCCATTAAAATTGCAACACCATGAAGGAAAGCAAATACAAAAAATATATTTATTGCACATAAGCAGTATAGCATGAAGACAAAATGATTAAATTTGTAAGCATTTTTTGAGGTTTACAGGGATGCAAAATTAGTAGAAACAGCTGCCACCCCTGTCAACTAAAGCAGCCCTTACCCCATTAGACATGGAGTCAAACGGGCTTAGATGACAAAAATGGGCAACTCATTCCATGCTGCTTCAGGTCTGTGCCATATTTCATCAACCGTATTAGCTGGAGAGAGGTGACGGGCCAGTCTCTCAGCAACCCATGACCAGATCTTTTCAATGGGTGACATATCTGTAGACCGGGCTGGCTATGGCAGCAGTCGAATACCCTGTGTATCGAGGAAGGTCAGAACATGATGTGCAACATGTGGTCTTGCATTGTCTTGTTGGAAGATGGCGTTTGGCAGGCCTCGAATATAGGACACAACCACTGGACGTAAGATGTCAGAAATATACTGTTCTGCGTTCAAATTACTATCGATCTGAACTAGAGATGTACATGTCGTGCATCCAGTGGCTGCCCAAATCATTACACCAGTTGCAGGGCTCCTATGCCGATATCGAATGCAAGTAGGCGACGGCGGTCTCCTCGTAAACTCCAGACACGTATACAGCAATCATAATACTGCATGTAGAACCGGGACTCATTTGAAAAGGCAACATTGTGCCACTCCTGCACCCAGCTATATCATTTGGCTTACCAGAGTCGCCGTCTCTCTCTCTATGCTACATTGTCAAGGGAGGCCAAAGTAATGGTCACCCTGCTGATAGTCCATGCTGCTCCAAACGTTGGCGCACCCTACGAACGGATACTGGGCATGCTGCAAACATGCCCATTTCCTGACTAATGATCTGTGATGTGGTTGTACAGTTTTGCAGGGCTGATCTCACAATATGTTTGTCCTCTCTGATATTAGTCAAGTGAGGGCGTTGAGATCATGCATGCCGTTCAATATGACCCTCAGCAATTCATTGATTCCATATTCGCATGACAGTGGTTGGATGTCGACCAGTGCAGCAGGCAATATCACGGAATGATAATCAATCTACACTTTCAATAGGCAACGATCCTGCCTGTATTGAATTCTGAAACTTGCTGATAAGCATTTCCTTTTCTTATTCGAGGCATAACACGGTATTCTGAGCAAACTCCAGCCTTACAAAGTACTTTCTGAATGAGAAATCCACTACACAACTTTTCTTTTATGCAGTACTTCAGATGTTGTTTCTCCCTCCTGCGTCATCTAAATGCACTGAAATACTCATCATTTGCATAGCACAATTTCTCCTTCCTTTCATGTGATTTTGACATTTGTCAGATCATTTCTTCCTGTTGTTGCAATTTTAATGGCCAGCAGTATAATTTGTAAAAGGAAAAAAAAAAAAAAAAGTTCTAGTTTTTGGTTTTTGCATACAGTTTATTCCAAGCTGAATAGGGGATGAATTTTTAAACATATTATTTACTTTAATTTATTCTGCATTATTACCACCACTTGTTGTTGCTTTCAGCATGCAACTGGATTAGGTTTTGAAGCACTTTTTTCTTTGTATTTATTCATTTACATATATACACATATATAAATGATATTTAAGATATTATACTGTTCCTGGAAAAGCTGAAGCCACTAATATTTTTGCAACAATTGCTTACTTATTTGCATAATACAATTGATTTTAAACAAAACTTTATGTTTGGATTTCTTTGCAAAATTAATCAAATTATAATTTACAATTGTTGATATTTTCCAGTTAACAGGATATTACTTGGCAGCAAATATAAATGTTGGAGTGAAATCTAATTAGAGATAGGGCTGGTAACCATAATGATATATACAATAGCATGAAAGGAAAGTCTATAGTTTAAATCCAAAATAAATGCAAAAATCACAAACAAATGCAGGAACTCCATAAAAAGAATACACGTTATTATTCCAGTCGGACAGTTGTGCAGTGTTTCCTGCTTAGTTGAAGTTGACAGAATTCTAAGACATGAGCTCTTCACATTATAAGTACAGAAATTGAATAAAAATGTATAAATCCTTGAATCAGTTTCTGTTCCACAAAAGTTATTTCTTGTAATACTATCTGTCATGACAATGCCATTTGGAGCTTCAAGCATAGTAAAATATAATTTCATTTTGGAGTTTCTTGAACACTTTCAATATGAATGACAGCTTTATCTTTTCAGAATTAAAACTTCTGACTCTGTCATTTAAGAACTGTAAAATCGTACAATTCATACTGATTCTCTTTCTTTCCTTTAAACATTTCAATTCAGAAAGCAAATGATAATCCTGGAGGGAATATTATAGAACTGGCATTTCTTTTCACTGCTAATTCACTGCTACTGCATAGAGTGAAGTAAACAGTTTACCATGTTTAGTACTTAGGCAATCATTTTCCAACTAGCATACTGGTAACTCAAAGTAACTTTTTGTTCAAGTTCGTGAGGGGAAGAAATAATAAAATCTGTAATTTGCTGTTTAACAGAGAAAGATGCTCTGCATTATTGTCAACAAGATAGAACTGTACCACCAAGCAGTGTGAAAATTAGAAAAACATGATATTGCATCGGATAGGCAATTTAATTAAAGATTAATTTTCTTTCTGAAATCATGTAATTAAATTCCATATTCCCATATTTTTTACAGTAGATCCTACTATTGAAAATCAAACACAATTGCTATCTTGATGATTATTTTTTCATCATAAATTATGTTTGCCAATTAACAGCAAAAAAATTTCCAGGATATGATAAATATATAAATACCCAAATCATTTGTAATAAAAGTTTAGTTAATGCATACCTTTCTCTTTCTCATCAAATAAAAGTATCATAACTTACCTTCTTCATAACTGGATAATGATCAGGTAAATCAGTAGGAAATACTGAAATTGCATTAGTTTCTTGATAATAATTTTCCATCAGGATAACTTTCTCAGAGATGTACCTTCGGTTTGCAAGATATGCAGACTAAATTCAAAATAAAAATAAAATAAAGAGATATACTAAACAGAACAGACAAAAATTATATATATATATATATATATATATATAAAAAAAAAAAAAAAAAAAAAAAACTATTAAATGAAATGATATGAACTATAAGTTTAATATTAATTAAATTAAGATCAACTTACAAGATCTCTGGTCAAAAACCTTTTGATACTTACATATTAGCTACTACTGGCCCAAAACTGATAATACCACTTTAGCTCTTCCTACAAGTGTCGCAACAACTCTAAAATCTTGTCTGGATTTTTTTGGAAAATATTTTATCATTTTACTCCCCCCCCCTTTTTTTTTGGTTGATGTTCTTTTCTTTTTAATTGAAAGGGAATTTTTTTAACAATAACTTTAGATCAATTAAAGCAAGTACACCCACTCAAAAGAGAGAGAGAGTAATTCTATATCTCCTGTTTTATTGAGCCAATTTATGAAATTCAACTTGCATTTTTCATGTCTCGACAACATGACTTAGGACAGATTTATACATAGAATTGTTGTAACTAAGGTATTTTGATAAAAAGACACTTTTTTTCTGAAATGACATAACGATTTTTTTCCATATTTAGATTCTATGCCTCAAATTATTCAAAAGAGCCAAGTTTTATAAAAATCACACTAGTATTTTTTAAAATATTAGCTCTCAAGCTCCTTAATAATTGTATTTGGTATATATTTATTAATATCTCTTTGTGATTTCTTCTTTCCCAGTTCTAAACTTAGGTTCAATCCAACTAGCACATTTTTCCTGATTTATTTTTAAAATTTGTATTTTTGAGTAATTTTAATAAACTTTTTGAAAAAAAAAATTAATTACAACCTACAGAATTTTTTGCATTATCTTAAAAAATAGAAATTTTTCTAAACACTTCTGGAGGGGGGGGAAGGCAGGTTTTTTTTATTTAAACTTTTCTAAGATATATGTGAATTAATATTTTGGCACATTTTGAAATTTGCCACCTTTTTCAAGCAAAAATAATGACAAACGTGGTTTACAGATTTTGTAACATTCTCCAATGAATTGCCACAGTTATTTTTACCTTAAATTTCCAAATAAATTTTGAAAGAGAATTAATCACACAGAATTTATTTTGCTCAGTTTTATTAATGATGCATAATAAATGTTTATTGATAATACAGGGTACATCACAAAAGCATACACACTCTTGTCATAGAAAATTTATTTTCCAACTTATAAGGTTAGATTTCTGGGAGAAGTAAAGCTACAATCCAATTTGAAAAATAAGTCAAAATGGTTCCAAATAGAATCATTTTTTTACACTGCATGAATGGCAGGGAAAATAGAATCAGCAAGCACTGTTAGGTACTTTTCTCCAGTTACAGTACCATTACAAAATGGTAAGTCCCAATGAATCCCCTAAAAGACAAACCACAACATACATTTACATCAGGCAAAATCATAGCCTTTTTTATAGACACATGGGAATTCTCTTCAGTTTGGGATACACACTTACGACGGTTGACAGCTCCACTAAGTCTGAGCTGTGCTTCAACCAATCAAAATATGCTACCCAGAAATTCCAGTTCAAGCGTAACCATTTCCTGAACCCACTCAGAAAATTGTACCCTGCGATCTGGCTCATCATTTCACTGTTGTATAAGCTTTCGAATGTGCACATGTAACTTGCCTTTCTTCAGAATGTGCAGCATACTACTAGCACTTAACCACTCTCTCATGACCCTTGTCTTAAATGTTTTTCTGGTATTGCTGAAACAGTTCAAGGCATTGCAGCTGAAGATTCTTCTCTTGTAGCTGTGTGAGGACGTCCTGATCAACCTTTGCCCAGTGCACACTGTTTGAAATGAATCTCAAATTTGTGTCACAGGCATGTAATTGTTAACTTTGAAGATGGATCTACCCATATTTTCCGTCAACTGTCTCTGGACCCCAGCAACATTCTCAAGGTTCCACTACTACTTAATAACCTGCTCCGACTCTTCAAAGCTTAAACACAAGCCTGCCATAATCATGTTACTGTCCTGCCACTAACTGGCTTATGCCAAGTAGATCAGTGATTCTGCTATATCCTGTTAAGGAAACAACATAACATTACTTTTTCTCAGAAACATAATCTAGTAAGTAGAAAAATATATTTTCCATGGCAGTTTACACTGTGCATACATTTTTTTATGCATCCTGTAAAAAGAAAGGAATTTTAAAATTTATATGGAATGTTGATATATATATATATATATATACAGTACAGTTAACAAGGAAAGCAAAAATATTTGGTTGGTACAATATAGTCTATGTTGACATAACTTGCTTTTAACAAGCAAACGCAGTTATAGCAAGCAATATATTTTATGATTCATAAACTTCTATTGATCTTCACCTCTCCAGTTTAGCTAATCCTTTCTTGGAATAATTTCTTTAACATTCCAAAGTTAACCGAAATTAGTGATGAGTCATAAATCCTGCAGATATGTGATGGCAGCCTTTTTTTATTTTGCGGAGTGATCAGGATTGAATTTTTACCACCAAATTCTACATGTGTTGTCCAGCCTATCGATCAAGGGATCTTCAGAAGTTTTAATCAAACTTTCGTATGCAGTTGATGATTTTGATGCTTCTTGACAGAAGGAATAGAAACAACCTCAAATGCGAATATAAACGTACTCAAAATGATATGGTTAATGACAGATGCATGGGAGAATGTTAGATCAACATGCATTACCAATTGCTTCCGTAAGGCTGGACTGGACATTTCTCAAGAGGAGCAAACCAATGAGAAAGAAGTACATTGGAAAATTTGGAAATTAATAGAGAAGAATTTTAAAATTATACACCTGTTGAGGCCAATGTTATCTCTCCTCAGATATCTACTCCCGAGCATATTGTAGCTAAAATTCAAGCTAAATCAGATGAACAAAATAATGAAAGCGGTGATGATAATGATGAATGTGACAAATTTCAAGCTGAACTGCCCCCAACATACTCAATGTCTTTTGAGTCAGCAGTAAAACTTTGTTTTTTGAAGCCAAGAGTGCAAAAGACAAAGTTTTTCAGGACATGGGTCTTCTCAGAAGAAATATAACACAAGAAAGAGACAATAAGGTAGTCCAAAGCAAATTAACCAACTTTTTTTATGCTGTACAGAAATAAAAAAATAAATATTTATAATATACACTGGTTATCATAAATTAAGGAAAAATCACAAAAATAGCGACAACTCTCTCAAAAATAAGCCAAATCGTGTAAAATTTCAATATGTTGCCAAGTAAGAGTAGCTGAGTAAAACTGCAATACGCAAATTAGTGGCACTGCACTCGGAATACGTCATCTGCGAGGAGAATAAAAGTCCATGTTTGAGAGCAAGCCCACCTATTTCACTGTGATAGTGACATCAGAAATCTGAGATAGCCAATTCGTAACAATGACCTCCAGGCATCATTTGCCTGCAGAACTAGGATGGAAAGCCATTGAGAGACTAGAGGCAGGATAAAGTCAAACAAAAGTGGCCAGATGGCTAAATGTTAGAGTCCTTCTGTGGACCTGTTAGAGTCCTTCTGTGGTTCATAGACTTTGGAGGCGATTTCAAACTACAGATCGGCATCTAGGAGGTTAAGCCAAGGACGGCCAACTGCTACGACAAGCGCTGATGACCGATATTTGACATTATGTGCACGCAGGAATAGAACCACTACTCTGACTCTTCTTAGATCCTCCCTTGCTGCAGCCATCGGAAGGTTGGTGTCAACATCAACTGTGCGTAGAAGGTTTCACGAAGGTGGTCTGTATGCGAGACGAGCAACCATTTGCGTGCCGCTCACGTTACGCCATAGGAGGAACCGCTTGCAGTAGGCACGACAACATGTCCACTGGACGCCTGATCAGTGGAGGGCTGTTCTCTTTACGGATGAGTCCAGGGTTTAGTCTAGAAAGCGATGGTAGGCGTTATTTGATATGGAGAGAACCTGGAACCTGTTATCATCTGTCAAACATCCGTTAAAGAGATGCATACGGAAGAGGCAGTGCCTGTGTTTAGGGTGGCATCTCTTTGGGTGGACACACAAACCTCCATGTCTTTCCAATGGAAATCGTGAATGCTACGGTTTATAGAGATGACATCCTTGATGCTTATGTGTGCTCATGTGCCGGGGCAATAGCTGATGCTTTCCTGTACAGGACAATAACGCACGACCACACAGGGCTCGTATTGTAGATGATTATCTTCAACAGGAAACAATTATGCGCATGGAGTGGCCAGCTTGATCCCCGGACTTGAATGCTATCGAGCACGTTTGGGATGCTTTAGAGAGACGTCTAGCTGCTCTCAATCCGCCCCTCAGACCCTTGCCACGCTTGTAACTGCTTTGCAAGAGCAATGGCTCTCGCTTCCTATGAAACTGATAGACCGCATAATTGAAAGCATCACACATCGCTGTATGTGCTGTATTGCTTCTAGAGGCGACCATATTCCATATTGAAAGTACTTTTCCTACAGCAAACTGACACCTTCGATATGTTCATTTTATACAAGTGCTAATTTCTATACTACCATAATTGTCTGGTAATTTATTTTTATGTTATTTGATATGTTACTATGTGTTGAATATTGTAGGCAAGTTTCATAAAGTTATACATGTAACTTTTTCAGTAATCGTGATTTTTGTGATTTTTCCTTAATTTATGATAACTAGAGTATTAAGTATGTAAGAATTTTTATGATTTTTCTCCCGAACCTGGATCAATCGGTTACGATCACTTGGTTATAACGAGCAAATATCGTAGTCCCTTCAAGCTTGATATAAGAGAGTTCGACTGTACATATATTCTGTCTACTAAATTTTTATCTCTGCCATGGTACTGCCTACATTTTTTATTTTAAGTTCATTTAAATTGAATTCTCTTTAAAAAAAAAAAAAAAAAAAAAAAAAAAAAAAAAAAAAAAGGAAAGAAAGAAGTAATAGTTTTGACAACAAAATTTTAAAAAGTAATGGAT